GTTGTCATAAATTTCAAATTTCTGTACTGATCGGCGAGTAAACGTTTCCAAGCGTGGGTAAATAAATATGTAATTTCGCAAGTCGCACGGACATTAAACATGCAAAAGAATTGCGTAGAATGCGTTTGCACACGTAACTTGTGAAGATTTGCAAAATATTTAGTGTAATACTGTTCTTTATAATTTTTAACAAGTAAAATAATTTCCGTTTGAATTGATGAATTCGCACGAAAATCTGTATAAAAGTTAATTAGTCTGAATTTGATGGTCGAGGAATGTTGTTCGACACTCGCAAGGTATATTTTTAGTACAATAATTTCTTAATTAGCTATTCAGGCATTTAATTATTCAAATAGATACTTAAACACCTGAGTCTAGATCTATAATTATGCAAGATCTGACGATAAGGTTATAATTTTCTATAGAAACGCAAAAGGTCGCGAGAAAGAAGAGTTACTCGAATAATTATAAAGTTTTGAATTCTCTTTTCACGTACACATGTATATTTAGTTGTATATTTTTTGCATGTTCACACTTAACATACACGAGTGTTTACAGTCTGTTTGTCAAAACCTTTTTCAATGCATACACAATCTACTTCAATAGCTAGTGAAATTATTCACCGACACGCTTTCGCAATTATACACTTTATTATTTTTACAATGTAACAATGTTATCAATAAACTAACGAGAGACGAGTAACCAACTCGCGAGAAAATGGAAATTTCCAGAACGATAATTAGCCTCTCGGTATCTTTAATTTTTTCGATAATTATAATGTCAATACGTCGTTGAGTAAATGATTAATATTTCAGATGAGATACCAGGAAAGTTACGTTAATTTTCCTTCTTTATATAGGTGTATATCATTAGCCTGGTGCATGTAGTATGTCGTTTCTTCCACGTTTGAATTAAATAAGCTAATATTACTCGTTAGACTGTTATATCATCATGAATCTAAAGAAGAGGATAATTTACGTAGTAAACGTTTCACGTTTATCGTAAAAAGAAGACTTGCGATACGAAAAACTTCCAGAGTATAAAAGTTGCAGAGTATAAAAATTATAAATTCAATCAATTTAATAAAATCGTGGTTATTTTATTTGTACAATTTCATAGTGTGAGAAGATGTCTTATTAACACGAGAAAATTATACTAGAGATGTTAGAAATTTACTCCAATTGTCACCGAAATTTTATTAGTTCTCGATTTTGCGAATTTTTATATTTTCACAGCTTCGAACATTTGCCCGTATCGTGGACGAAAAAGATTGAATTACTGTTCCTTGAATAATTAAAAACATACTGTTCCTCGATTTGATCACGTCGTTCTTCGCGAATGTTATTAGTATCTATTTTACACGAAGGATAGATTCATTGATTTGGACTTAATTTTCAGTACAACTTTAAATTTATAAGCGAAATTGATCGAGTTGAATTTTAATCGAATTTCATTGGTAACCTAGATCAGTGTGACTAGCGCTTCTTAGAATTGTTAGAGAACGTCTTACAATGAGGTATTGTCGTTTATCGGAACGTCCATTCAATTAGCTCACAAATACCATTTTATTACCTTTTTATAATTTTTGTATTCATTCTCATATCTTAGAGAAATTGTAATTATGGATGAAAATGTAGAGTGACGTTAATTTTATTGTAAGAATTTCATGTAATTCTCTCCATTTATTATAATTTCTTCTTACTTATTGTAATGTCTAGCGTTTCAAATTTATGTTACAAGATGAAAAATAATAAAATTTAGAAATACATTGAATGCGAAAACATCATTTATATTCTAATGATATTTCTTGAACAAGTATGGCCGTTTTCATTATAGCGTGGATGCAAATTCAGAATAATATTGACTGTACAGCCATTATAATTTCTTCTTCGCGTTTCCGTCGGGTCAGAGATCTTTTGAAATATTTGAAATATTTATTCGCACGAAAAGTAACAAAACTTAGATATTGAACGTGAAAACCAAATATTTGAAATACGTGAAAACCAAACGCTTCAGTAATATTTATCGAGCAATTACTACGATTTTCATTTTGGTAATGTAGACGTAAAGAGAAAAACATAGTTAATCTTCAGATTAGGCCACGAAGCTTTTAAAACTCTTCAGCAATCTTTCGCTTTCAAACTTTGAAAATATACGAACGCTTGTAATGAAATTTCTATGAATACATCGTGTGTACATAAAAATTCCTTTATTGCGTACATTGCATATATATTTTACAGTTTTATATAAAGAAAAGACCATTTTTCTCTCTCGAAAAAAAAAACGCCATTTAAAAATTGAAATATCATGTCAATTACATTTTTGACAAGTAGTATGTTTTATGTCTTTATAAAAAAAAAAAAACTGCTGTTTTCCTGAAGAAATATCAATACTCCAAAAATTGAAAGATCGTGATCAATTAAATTAAACTTGACATATATTAAATTATATATTTCATATATTATACATTTTATATTTTTTACAAAAAGAGAGAGAATCGTCGTTTCTCCGAAAGATATCAAATCGAAATGTCGAGCGAAAAATTGAAAAAAAAAAGGAATCGAATTAAATTAAACTCGACAAGTAGCAAACTTTATATCCTTCTACGAACAAAGAACTATTTCTTTGAAAGAAAAAAAAAAAAAAAAAAAAAAAAGAAAAAGAGAGAAAAGCAACTCGCTTGATTGCTCCCCTTTATCAAATTATTTATTTAAATTTTAAAATATTTATTTAAATTAATTAAAAAAATTATTTATTAAAATTTAAATTATGTATTAAATTTATTAAATTAATTAATTATTATATATATTTAAATTAATTATTGTATTACATATAATTAAAATTAAATTATTTATTTAAATTAATTATTATATTATATATAATTAAAATTAAATTATTTATTTAAATTAATTATTTTTTATAAAATCGTGCGATCGTGTTGTCGTCGACGGAGGACTAAATGAAACGTAGAAAAATGAACGTCGTTCCTCGAATCGTGCTCGGATCAACCGGTAACCGCTTACCTTCGCACGTTATTTGCATGGATTGCATCACCGCGGGCGGATTTTACATTCAATATAGTTATTAAATGGCAGCGATTTATTATTCACGGAAACAAGCCTAATCGTGCAATTAGTCTTTGCATATAATATCAGGTAAATAGAAATAGCGACGGCTTATGCACGCAAGCGTTAGCACGCGATCGCATCGAGCTCGCACATGTCTGTTATTCTATTAACAAACCATTACCGTTCTACTATTACACTAGATTTTACTCTATATCTTTATCTTTATCTTTTATTTTTTTTTATTTTTATTTCTAGTCGATAATTAATTTTTTGTGTCTTTAATATTTAGAAACTTATCGACGTAACTGTAGACTTCGGATTTTCATTTTTTATAACTGCTTGGGAGATATTTCATCCTGATTTTCTGAAATATTTCATTACATTTGACAAGTATTTTATTTACGGATATAGACAGATATATGTATTTTATTTATTTATAAAAAAAAGGTATACCTCCGGTATTAAAAACCAAAGTTATTTGATTAAAGAACTACCGAAGTGGTCAAACTGACTAATTTATAATTTATAGTTTTTACTAGAAATTTTATAAATATAAAGCAGTGTATTTTATCTATGTTTTATTCATCTATGTATAATACGTAAGATGCTTGATTTTGATCTATAAATCCGAATTGTTGGTATTTTGTTATATAAAAAATTTCTACATACAAAATTAATAATAATATATATTAATAAGTAAAATTATAATCAATAATAGCTACACAAAATCATACAGTTATTAATCAATTATATCGTATGCTCTGTTATTCATATACTTATTTATTAATATAGTTTCGATTGAAACTTCATTATAACAAAATATATGATACAATTATTAAGCGAGGGCAATAGTTCCAGTATGAAAAATGAAGTGACAATGATGAGGGAAGAAAACAAACATTAAATAAAATAAAATTGTATAATATTTGTACCAAGCATCGATTTGAATTTATCATAATATTATAGTTGTATCTGCGAGTAAGTCGGATGAAATATAAGAATCATAATGAAATTACAAAGATTACATGATAACGACTGTAACGTGCCTAATTTGTTGTATTTAAATTGCCTTTAGATTTAATCTGAATGACGCATCAAATGATTCATAAAAAATGGGGTATTCCACAAACATCTTCCGGAGCATGAAATCTGATTTATTCTAGCAACCAAGGATACATAACATTAGTTGATATGATAATTTTACACACGTATTCGATAGTATGTATTAAGATAGTTATGCGATAAGCTGTTATTGTCGCAATTAATAGTGAATATTTTTTTTCCTTTGTGTTAGAAAATTTTCTGTGAAACTCCATTAAGATCAGAATCTTTGCACGTAACGAAGTGTTACGACAAAGTATTATTGAATATATTCCAGATTATAATGTAGAGAAGAAATATTACAAATGTCTGATAAAGTTTTATCCAAATTTTATTAATACACTAATATTAATATAAAATTACATCAATATATGTTAATATTAATATAAAATTACATCAATATATGTTAATATTAATATAAAATTATATCAATATATATTAATATAAAATTATATCAATATATATTATATAAAATTATATCAATATATATTAATATAAAATTATATTAATGTATATTAATACAAAATATATTTATTTCGCTCGATAGAATTATATATACGTTTTTTTCATTATTTTTATGTTTTATTAGATACGTAATATACGTGATATAACAGAGCATACACAATATTATATAATATACATATGATATTATTATATAACATATATATATATATACATATCTCGCCTATAGTAGCAATACAGAAATAATAGGTATATTGTATTATGTGAATATATTTTGAAGATACTTGAAAAACACAATTCTATTTAGAGAAAAAAAGATACACGAAAATATAACAATAAAAATTGAACGGACATTGTTCGTAGGATTTCATGAGTTTCTTTCCTTTCTTTTTCTTTTTTTTTTTTAATTCCAGAAACGAATTCCCAGGATTAGAAGCGAGGGTGGAGAAATCGAAATGGTGGACGAACAAAGACAGCGGTAAATACGACGCGGAGGAACTGAGGGAAGTCAGGTGGCTCGAGGACGCGATAAAGGCGTACGCGAAAGCGTTAGACACGCTGTGGTGAGCATGTCCATTTGATTACCCGTTAATCGTTCGTTCCCATGAAAAATTGCGACATGCACAGCTAAATTGCAAAAATTCTCAATCCGCTGTGCGAATGATAATTGCCAGCTTTCCAAAGGAAAAAACTTTGTTACTTTACACAACTTCAGTATATAACTTTGGTCGATCAATTGAAATTAATTTAGTATCGTTAGTCGATCAAAGAAATGAAAAGATATTGGCTATGGCTCGTTGATTTGTTGAACGATTGTGATTATTACTCATATTGTCTATGGTTCATTGATTTGTTAACGATTATGATTATTAAAAACAATGAAAAATGATCTGCTGCGTGATTATCTACAGAAATTAATGGAATTTAATTCGATTAATAGAATGCTACCGTATATTAAATTAATTCCTTTCAGTTTGATGGATAATCAACGAAAGGTGATGACGTCAGATTGTAATCTAACTTTTTTTAAATTTTTAAAGAATTCCTTTTATAACTTTTAAATTTCCAGCCTAATCTTTTTTTTAAATTCTTTCATTTCACTCCTTGCTTCCTCGACAATTCTATAAAGATGACCTAACTTTTCTCAAAATTCTTAAATTTCTTCGCGATTCCAAAAAGTGGCTCAACTTTTTCTTTCAGATTCTCGAACTTTATAAGCCTACGTTCACAATCATTCTGACCTAAAAACACGTGCGAATGTAAGTGTACCATTACGTTCCGAGCCAAGTTGAAGTGTCAGAGTTTGACTCTAATATCGAACTTAATCGACAACCGCTACCTATAATTTTGTAAATCTGCAGTTTCATTAGCAAGGACGGAGTGCAAATTAGCATGACATTAACATCAATTTAATATACCTAAAACGCCGTTTAGATAGTTACGTAGCTTGTCAAAGCTGTGCTGTTTTTTCTTTTTTTTTTTTTCTTTCGCCCATCTTTTTTCATTCTCCTGCGAGAAATTCGCGTGTATAAGAAACTCATTCGCTATGGGACAACGTATGATTAGATCAAGTAAGAAACAGGATAACGATCGAGTTTGATTGAATCAGATGTTAGTCAGCGGTACCTGAACGACGTGGCTTCGTTCTTTGTACAAAGGTCTATCTATCGACGTCTAATTACACATAATTACAACAAATGCCGTTACGTTAGGTTTCTTGCTATTCAAGAAAAAGCTGGTTATATGGGAACGGGAATTTTGTATGAATAGTTTCGTGTGATTGACATCGAGTTTCGAGCGTTCGGATCTGTTTAGCCCTGCTTGACGTTCTTTCCATCATTCTCGAGCCGCTCGTACATTTTTCTAGAGTTAAAAGACATCTCGAGTTCGAGAACTTTTTGTTCGAGAACTGAGTTCAATGAAGAAGTTTTTATCAGTGTGTATAATTTGTCGATTAAATAAGATTACGTTAAACATCTTCGTAGGACATTCTAACTTCTTTTCTTGGAAATATTGAAATATAAATATATTGAGATTAGAATTTAATTAAGTTACGAGATTAAATTTAATTACGGAAGTTTATGGATCGTAGCAGGAATTAAACAATTCCAAGCTCAAGTTGATCAATTGTATTTGACCAGATGATTACTGTTGAACTTCATAAAGAAACAAATGAATTTTAAACACTTATTTATATATGAATGTTCGTAATGCTTTTTTTCAATTTATAGAATCGAATGATATAGTTTTTGTAAGAAAATAACCTGTTGTTAATTAATTTTTATCTCTATTAATATACATAAAATAGACAATTTCACTTACTCACAGGTCGCTCGTTTAGATCAGGCTTCCAAGTTTCTAATCTGAAACAGAAAAGAATTTCCCATTCAATTTATAAATAATATGATAGACATATATACGTATGTTAAACTTCATTAACACTGTCATTACGTCAGCCGAATTTAAAATCAGATATAATATAAAATATAGATATAATATAAAATAAATATTTCATATAAAATTTGACGTATATTTGAAAAAAAATTAGTATGCGTTATGTGTGTTTTAATAGAAAATTAATATACAGCATGAATATCCATCTTAAGCACGTAAGTGCTTGTTAAGATGAATATTTTTATTAAGATAAATGAATTTGATCTCGCTGAATATTAAAGTTTATTATTATATTATTATGAATAATTATTAGTTTAAATATTTTCATAACGTCCACGAAAGTGGTTAGATATCTTAGAGTTTCTACGTAATATACTTTTAGGTTTGATCAATATATATATAATCAATATAATCATGTATTGTAGAACATGTATGTTAATAAAAAAAAAAAAAAAAATGGCTATAAATCGAGTATTTCAGTGAGAAACTGATATATATATATATACGTACATACATCTCTGATTCGATGTAATTATAATCGTTTGTTAAATCGAGTATTTCAGTGAGAAACTGATATATATATACGTACATACATCTCTGATTCGATGTAATTATAATCGTTTGTTACAATATTAATTAACATAATATCACGACACTCGTGATATTATGTTAATATTTCATTACAGTGTTAATAAAGTTTCAAAATATTTTACTCGATACATGTGTTCCTGTGAGTGTTTGAATACTTTCGTGAACAACCATACGTTTCTGACTGCATACACTTTCATTTATATTAATACGGTGATACTCGTGATCCCTTCACAGTGTTAAACATTTGAAAATACATAAAATTCCTATATTCCTGTTCGAATATTTTCGCGAGCAACCATGCACGTAGATACCATCTTAATACGATTTAAACAACTGTATTAGTATAATAATACATGCTCGTATTTCATTACGGCGTTGATAATAATCAACACTGTAAATGAAGTGTTAATAATAATAATAACAATTTTGTATAGAATAATGTATAGAGTTTTAAATAAATACATAGAGTTCCTATAATAACAAATCCTGCAATAATACAAGCTTAATTAAGCACAAAGTGCCAAGGAAATATTCGAACGCTCTCATCAACCGAGCTAAATTAAATCCCGGAAACGGTACGCGTGACAGGAGAACGTGTTAACCATATGACGTGTCTGTAGCAAGAAGAAGAAGTGCAAGAGCCAAGTGAACGCCGTCGACTGGAACAATGTCCTGTCGAACGTGATCGCGGATCACGCGAAGGAATCTCAATCGAATGCCGGGTCTCTCGAGCTGTTGATGAAAGCGAAGGCCTCGGATCTGCAGACTATAGGCACGATCGCCGTCGGCAAGAACAAGGTGAAGTTGCATTGGGGCGACGACGACGACGACAAGAAAGACGACGACAACGATAAGAAGGACGACGACGACGACGACGACGAAGACGACGACGACGATAGTGACGACGAGGACGACGAAGACGACGAGGATAAGATGCCGAAAACATTCAAAAAACTGATCAGTAAGGAGAAAGGAACGAAGACTGGCTGCGCTACCACGCCTAAGGAGATCAAGATGTTGCACGAGGATGACGACGAGGCTGCTCAGGTTCTCGTATCTGAGATGGATAACACCGAGTGGTGGACCATGGTTAGTTATGATTTTACCCGTTAGCTTGCTAGTTAGGATACTGACACGTTTAGTACCCTAAACTAATAATTATTTTATTCACTTAGCAATGAGTTGTGCGTTAAATAATTGTTATCTATTATTGAATTATGCTGACGATTATTACATTGGCAATTATTATTATTATATTGATTAATATAATAATCTGAATTGGACAATGAATTTGTTAGCTTAATTACTGTGAACTAATTTTTCACATTAACGCTTCAAAGATAACGCTCAATGTTGATAATTTAGATTTTCTTTCTTTAAATCTTGTTCTCTACAGATTTAAATTGTATGAATAATCAACGGGTGGGTGCAGATTTTATTCCACGTTTCATATGTAGTTTCACGTGAAACGTGTAGAATAATCTGTATTCATCGTAAATCCAATAACTTTCGCTCTATACTCGAATATACTGTTTAATCTCTTGCATTCAGTTAATCTCTTCGGTACGAAGCTCGTCAGCTGTGTAGTATTGCTTCATTACTGAGTAAATAAAACGCAAGGTACATTCATACAACATGTATTTCCTTCTGTAACGAAATGTTATAGAAGATGCGTACCGACATACAAAAGAAATAATATTTAAAATTATTTTCAAGCCAAGCCGTGACAAATATATACAAAATACACGTACTTGCGTTTAACTGATGATATATTTCTAATAGATAAGAGGAATAACTTCTTAACTCGATCGAAAAAAATTGAGAATTGTATCATTAACTGTGATAAATATGTACAGGACGTATTTGCACATTTATTAATTTAAACAAATCAATGATTGTATAAATGTAATTGTAAGATTCTTTTAAACATCTGAAGTTCGATAAAATTGTATTATTAAAAATTTAAAGAAAATTAAAAATTATATCATTAATTATATTATATTATATTAAAAAATAATATTATAAAATAATATTATAAATATGAAAAAAATATTAAATTATAATATTGTTATATTATAATATTATATGTATATATATTACAATAATATTATTATATATATATTATAATATTATAAAATTATATATATATATTATATTATATAATTATGTATTATATATATATTATAATATTATATAATTTATTTTATAAAATTATATTATAAAATATTAAAAAAATTATATTTAATTATATTTAAATTAAATTTTTAAATTATAAAATATTACATTATATTATATTTTATAAATTATATTATATATTAAAAATTATATTATTAATTCAACTGTAACTATACGCATACAGAATTATACATCTATGAGTTTGCTGGTTTGTTGACGATCGTACCGAAGAAATTAATAGATATTTTAATAAATTTTGATAACTCTGGCACATCCTCTTAGAAAAGGAAAAAAAAAAGGAAAAGGAAACTGCTATCAGAATTATAATGCGACAATGATCCGTAGGTTGGTACAGTGAGCGGTGTCGGTGTGGCGATGTTCGTCGTCGGAATTCTAGCAGTTTACGTGGTCTACACGAATATTCGCGGCCCAGTGGCGCCGAAGAACGCCCGCATCGAGAGAGACACCAGTCTGAGAAGAGTTGGCAGCGACAGGGAACCACCTGTTCGTGCCCAGAGACATCCGCGTACGTTGCAAAGGAGGGACAGCAACAGAAGCATCAGAAGCACCATCTCGGAGAAAAGCGTCTGATGGGATTTCTCGATGCAGGCAAAATCACAACGATCACACGCTAATCACACGCTTGAACGAATCGAATATTTCGGTATTCCACGATATCTTTCACTATATAGGTTTCAACTATAACGATTTGTAAGTCGTTTCGGCTTATTTATCATTATTTTAGTGCGTCACGCATTGCGTAGAAACTTTGAGGAAGCAGTCTCTCTATTGTACGTATCAGCAGAAAATCTCAAATATCGACAAAATGTCAAGAAATCGTCCTGTTTGCTTATTACCTCTCTTTCTCTCTCTCTCTCTCTCTCTCTCTCTCTCTCATTTTCTCTGTCCCTCTCTCTGAATTTGAAAAGGAAAATGATTTTACAGCAAAGAACGATATATCTTTTAATCCTCCTGCTGAACAACTCGCCACCGTTAAAAAAGAAAGAATTTAAACCGTTATTCCGAGCGTTCGAACTACGAAGGATCGATGTATAAACTTCTTTGAAAAAAAAAAAAAAAA